GTGGCTGGTTGTGAGGCTAGCACGGATATCCAGCACAAAGCAGCCAGTGAACCCCATCATGGGCTTCCCACAGCACCCCGTTCCTGCTCGTATCTGCTCCCCAGGGCCCTGTAGCCTGTGCCCATCCCAGCTCCTTTTTTGTTGAGATCTGAGCAGATTTGAAATCTGCATAGGATAACCCTGGATTTGGTGGGTTCGGTGTGGGGGCTGGGCGGCCCTTTTGAAAGGGTGCATCTGGCCAGCAGCCCCACAGGGGAACCAGAAGCATCCCAATGAAGTTCAAATAACAAGACCAGGCGGGAGGGCTGCTGTGTCTGTGACCTTCCTCTGGAATCTCAGAGCTGGTGAATGAAAGTCTCTAGGAACTGGTGAACCTTCAGTATTAGCTGGTCCTCAGGAATCAGGGGAGGGACTCAAAGAGGCCTCATTCCAGATGCCTTCCAGCCTCTCTGGATTCTTTCCAAATCCAGTAGGAAAAATGGAGCCTCTGAAAGGAGGGGTAAGTGAACAGATTTCCTTGCTGGTCCTGAAGTGCTTTTTATAGCACTTCCTGTGCCCAGCAGGAGCTGAGACCCAGTGGCTGAAATAGACAGAACATTCTCTGGTTATCAGGCATCTGGCTGCACTCCAGGCTGCACAGGGCCAGACAGATAGCACCTCACTTGGACTGAAGCCTTGTCTGGGGAAGGCCTCAGAACCTGCTTGAAAGCCTGACCCTCTTTGCTTGCCCAGCTGGGCAGACAGTGCATGAGTGTTTCTACATGCTGGTGATCGGGTACCAGCACTTCAGGGGCTCCCTAACCTCCCACTTTTTCCCAAGCAAACACAGACATATCAGCAAGATTCATGAGACTTAACTCTCACTTTCATTGCTTTAACCCCAAGGCAGGCAAGTTTCCATGGGAGGTTATACTCACAGGTGTACACTCCACACAGTCTTTCAATAAGTAAATGTCCTTGGCTCTTGGTCCAGGTCATTCCTTTGTAGTCTATTCTATTTCTGACCTACACATGCCTCTGTGGGGCACAGCCTTTTCATTTAACAAGTCCAGTAAGTTGTAGCCCTAGGAGTACAGGGTTTCAGCTGTAACTTGAAGCAAGCTACAGGTAGCTTTAAGCATGTCACTGTTGTGGGAGCTTCAAGCAAGTAGTAAAAGGAGATGCAAGCAAGTTTCTCTCTGGACCTCAGAAGGGATGGATGGCTTCGGGCAGGCATAGTCCCCACTCCCATCCTGTCTACAAGCTCAAATCATTCTCAGCCCATGACAGAAAGATGTGGAGATGCCTCTGGCCACCATTTTGGGTATCACCATCAAGTGGTCCCTTTAGTAAGCCAGGTTGGCTCTCCTCTCATACCCTGATGAGGTAGAACTCATTGTGCCTTCTAGGAGCTGATATGCTAAGGAGGACACAGGTCCTGCTCTAGGCCTGGCCCCACTCCCCATCAGCTGCGTGACCATGACTAAATCCACTGACCCCACCAAGTATGTTTTTTTCTCTGATAAAATGAGGACTCTTCCTTCTGGGGCTTTTAAAAGAGATAATTGTGAAAATGTCCAGCACAGTGCCTAGTACATAGTAGGCACTTGGCAACTAGTAACTATTAGTGTGGTTTTTTTTTCTTTTTGAGGTAAGATCTTACTCTGTCATCCAGGATGTAGTACAGTGACATGATCACGGCTCACTGCAACCTCCTCCTCCCGGGCTCAAGCAATCCTCCCACCTCAGCCTTCTGAGTAGCTGGGACCACTGGCATGTGTCAAAACGCCTGGCTTTTTTTTGTACTTTCGGTAGAGATGGCGTTTTCCATGTTGCCCAGGCTGGTCTCGAACTCCTGGCCTCAAGTGATCCTCCCAATCTGCCCACCTCAGCTTCCCAAAGTGATGGAATTACAGGCGTGAACCACTACACCCAGCCTGTTAGTGTTATTCTTTAACCAATTTCAGTGTCCAAGTGGATTGAATCTTCTTTCCTTACCTTGAGAGCCTCCCTGTATCTCGAGACCTTGGAACTTAGCCTTGAATCTGTTGTTTGTGTCAATCTTTCCCCTTTGCCTCCCCCTATTTTCCCACCCCACAGAGGTGGAAGGTGAGGTGGAGCTAGCCCAAGGTGTCTGCAGCTGGCCTGGTCCTCCCAGTGTCTTCTGACCCTGCATTCCTAGCTATCCTCAGCTCACTTGTCCAAAAGCATCTCCTGTTGAGCCTCTTGGCTAATGCTGAGTCCTGGGTGTCTGCTGTCAAGTCCTTTGAAACAGAAGTTTGCTGCCATGCAGGACTTGCTCCAGGACTTAGAGAGCAGGATGTGTCTTCCTGCTCAGTCCTATACCCTCTCCCCTCTCCCTGTGTCCCTAGGTGTCACAGCAACTGAGGGAGGCCTTTTAGAAGCAGTAAAGATCTCAAAGTAACAGGGATCTGTTACTTTGTTTAGAAACAGATATTTTTAATGTTCTCAAAAAATGAACATCGTGGGCTGGGCGCAGTGGTTCACGGCCATAATCCCAGCACTTTGGGATGCTGAGGTGGTGGATCACTTGAGGATAGCAGTTCGAGACCAGCCTGGCCAATACAGTGAAACCCCATCTCTACAAAAAATACAAAAATTAGGCAGACATGATGGCAGGTACCTGTAATCCCAGCTACTTGGGAGGCAGAGGTGGGAGAATCGCTTGCATCTGGGAGGCAGAGGCTGCAGTGAGCTGAGATGGCACCACTGCACTCCAGCCTGGGTGACAGAGTGAGACTCTGTCTCAAAAAAAAACAAAAAACATTGTTACCTGAAGATTGTCCAGTGAAGCAAGTGAATGATGACATTTAAAAAATTAGCTTTAATGGCCAGGCACAGTGGCTCACACCTGTAATCCCAGAACTTTGGGAGGCCGAGGTGGGTGGATCATGATGTCAGAAGATCAAGACCATCCTGGTCAACATGGTGAAACCCCATCTCTAATAAAAATACAAAAATTAGCTGGGTGTGGTGGTGCATGCCTGTAATTCTAGCTACTCAGGAGGCTGAGGCAGGACAATCACTTGAACCTGGGAGGTGGAGATTGCAGTGAGCCGAAATCGTGCCATTGCATTCCAGCCTGGTGACAGAGCAAGACTCCATTAAAAAAAAAAAAAAAAATTAACTTCAGTCCAACCCAAATAATAGAATTAAGAATAGTAATAGCTGAAAGTGGTTTCTAACTCCTTCTGAGCTTCAGAATGATCTGAGGAGCCTTTAATAAAAACATTTGGACACAGAAGCAGTGAGTCCATTTGTGGGGTCGGGTAGGCTGGGCCTCTGTCCGTTTAGGGAGTAAGGGAGAACCCACCCCTGAGTAAGACTTCACTATCGTATTTCATCAGGGCACACCAGCCACCTGTCTGTGGGTTTTCAGAGACTCCATAGTGCCCTGCTCCGAGGGCCCTGCTGGGCAATTCAAACCCTACATGGCTCTCCTCAGGGGAGTGAGGAGGAGAGGGTGGGGGAGTCAGACTCTAGTTCCTGGAAGAATCAGCCAAGCCTCATCCTTGATTTTCCTCCATCCCAGCCCTGTGGGCAGCTGTCAGGCATCCCTCCCACACTATCTGAAACCCAGCCAGGCCCACCTTGAGCCTGTTTCCTAGGCAGTCTGTGAGAAGCTCATGAGTTAGAAACACTTCCTTACATACTCTGTTTAAAAAGAAAAGGTCTGTTCCTGTGCATGGTGCATTCATCAGTCGGCAACTCTTTTTTAAGACCTCAAGAGCATGGGAGGATTGTGAAAGATGCAGCTGTGACAAGCACTCACAGAGGAGGAATTGAGGCGCAGGGGGTTTGGGCGTGTCTGAAGAGCAAGCTCTGGAGCCAGCTGAGTCCTTTGCCAGCAGGCACAGAGCCTTCTCTATGGCGGGCCAGGCAGGTGCTCTTCACCCAGTGCCCCATGAGAGGAGTGCCACCATGCCTCTGCAGCTAGCATCGTGCCTGGCACAGAGGCAGTGCCCAGGAAACATTTGTTTACCGAATGACTTTTTGTTGTTGTTGTTTGAGATGGAGTTTCGCTCTTGTTACCCAGGCTGGAGTGCAATGGCGCGATCTCGGCTCACCACAACCTCCGCCTCCTGGTTTCAGGCAATTTTCCTGCCTCAGCCTCCTGAGTAGCTGGGATTACAGGCATGCGCCACCATGCCCAGCTAATTTTTTGTATTTTTAGTAGAGACGGGGTTTCACCATGTTGACCAGGATGGTCTCGATCTCTCGTGATCCACCCGCCTCGGCCTCCCAAAGTGCTGGGATTACAGGCTTGAGCCACCACGCCCGGCCCCGAATGACTTTTTAAATGAGCAGAGAAGAGGCATCTGCAGTGGGGCTGGGAAGAGGATAGGACAGAATAGAAAAGAAAGGGAGAACAAGAACTGTGTGAACTCGAGGAAGCCCTGTGCCTTTATGCAGAGGCTGGTTTCCTCAGGGTCATGAGGATGCAGAGATAATGAATGTTAAAGAATTCCCCTGGGCGGGGCGCGGCGGCTCACACCTGTAATCCTAGCACTTTGGGAGGCCGAGGCGGGTGGATCATGAGGTCAACAGATCGAGACCATCGTGGTCAACATGGTGAAACCCCGTCTCTACTAAAAATAAAAATTAAAAAAATTAGCTAGGCCTGGTGGCGCGTGCCTGTAATCCCAGCTACTGAGGCTGAGGCAGGAGAATTGCCTAAATCCAGGAGGCGGAGGTTGCGATGAGCCGAGATCGTGCCATTGCACTCCAGCCTCGGTAACAAGAACGAAACTCCGTCTCAAAAAAAAAAAAAAAAAATTCCCCTGTCAAATGTGAGCCCACCTGAGCATCCTCTTTTCCACGAAGTGTGAGAGTTGCTGGTTCTAAGGTCTCTTCCTACTCAGGCCACCTCGGTGGTTCTACCTGTGTGCACGGAGAGGGCTGGAGTTCACAGCTGCTCTTCATCAAGGGCCCTGCTCCTGGGTGAATGGGAGGCCTTGGCTTGCCACCGTCGTCATATCCCTTCTCTTCCTTCTGCCCAGGCATCCTTTGAGGTGTCAGTGGAGGCCCGAAGCTGCCCCAGCAGACACATGGAGCATGTGTTCACCCTGCGGCCAGTGGGATTCCGGGACAGCCTGGCAGTGGGGGTCACCTATAACTGCACATGTGGCTGTAGCGTGAAGCTGAAACCGAACAGCACCAGCTGCAGCGGGAGCGGAACCTATGTCTGCGGCCTGTGTGAGTGCAACGCCGGCTACCTGGGCACCAGGTGCGAGTGCCAGGATGGGGAGAACCAGAGCGTGTACCAGAACCTGTGCCGGGAGGCAGAGGGCAAGCCGCTGTGCAGCGGGCGTGGGGAGTGCAGCTGCAACCAGTGTTCCTGCTTCGAGAGTGAGTTCGGGAAGATCTATGGGACTTTCTGTGAGTGCGACAACTTCTCCTGTGCCAGGAACAAGGGAGTCCTCTGCTCAGGTAAGTGTCACCGGCAATCACTTAGCTCTGAGCCAGGCCCAGATGCTGTTAGGACATCCTACCAAAGCCCACCTTTCATTCCATGGTAGTAGAAAGTGTCACCACCATGGCTCTCCTTGGAGAAGACAGTGGGCAAGCCTTGCCAACCCTAGGCAGGAAGTGGGGACTAGTGTGTGGAATACAAAAGCAGAAGGCACTGCTATAAATTATGGACTCTGAGAGTTAGGGACCAGCCTGTGGGTCATCCAGCTTACTTCCCAGTTCATGCAGGACTGGTGTGCACAGCATTCCTGACAGGTAGAGATGTTCAGCCTCTTCTTGATTGCCTCCTGGGACAGGGAGCTCACTGGGGCTGGTAGTGGCCATCTGCCTCTTAGCTATTGGATTCATATCTTATTGCAGCTCCCACAACTCACAGCAAACCTGGTGGCTTAAAACAGTATACATTTATTCCATTACAGTTCTGAGGTCAGAAGTCTGAAATGGATCTCATTTGGCTAGAATCAAGCTGTGAGCGGGGCTGCACGCCTCCTAGAAGCTCCAGGGGAGAATCTGTTGCAGCCTTTTCCAGTTCCTAAAGGGCACCTGTATTCTTTGGCTTGTAGCTCCTTCCATTTTCAAAACCAGTGGAGTAGTATCTGCTTTTGTTGTCACATCCTTCTCCCTCTCCTGTGGACCCCTGTAGTTACAAGGGACCCTCAGTTGAACCCCTGGGAAGTCTCCCCATCCCCAGGTCCTTAGCTTACTCACACCTGCACAATCCCTTTCACCATGTAAGGCCACACAGTGATAGGTTCTAGGGATTAGAATGTGGACATCTTTGGGGCTGCTATTTTTCCTGGCAGAATTCTTTTTTTTTTTTTAACTGAGATAGAGTCTTGCCCTGTTGCTGGAGTGCAGTGGCACTATCTCAACTCACTGCAATGTCCGCCTCCCGGGTTCAAGCAATTCTCCTGCCTCAGCCTCCCGAGTAGCCGGGATTACAGGTATCCAACACCACACCTGACTAATTTTTGTAATTTTAGTAGAGATGGGGTTTCACCATGTTGGCCAAGTTGGTCTTGAACTCCTGACCTCGAGTGATCCACCCAACTTGGCCTCCCAAAGTGCTGGGATTACAGGTTTGAGCTACCACACCCAGCCCAGAATTCCTCTTTATATTGAAGAGAAATTTGTTTCTCAATAACTTCCACCCAATGGCTCACATTCTTAAGTCCCCCTTCCACATGACAACCTGCCAAAAATCTAAAAGCTTATGTTTCTCTGTTCTCTCTTCTGATCTAGGTTAGACACCCCAAGTCTCTTCCTTCTCTGAGGGTGCTATCATTTGTGAAGAACTGAGCATGTTTCTTGTCATGCTGGATGATGAGGGCTTGGTCCATGGTGCTGCAGAGCTTTTGTTTCCTGTGATTTGGACATTCTGTTTCCACGGATGCACCCTGACAGTACCTATCTACCTACCTACCTACCTACCTACCTACCTATGTACCTACGTACCTTCCTCCCTCCCTCCCTCCCTCCACTCCCTCCCTCCTTCCCTCCTTCCTTCCTTCCCCGCCTCCCTCCCTCCCTCTCTTTCTTTCTTTCTCTTTCCCTTTTTATTTTTTGGGAAGTCTCGCTCTGTCTCCCAGGCTGGAGTGCAGTGGCGTGGTCTCAGCTCACTACAACCTCCACCTCTCTGGTTCAAGTCATTCTCCTGTCTCAGCCTCCTGAGTAGCTGGGATTACAAGCACCCGCTACCACACCCAGCCAATTTTTTGTGCTTTTAAAATATAGATGGGGTTTCGCCATGTTGGCCAGGCTGGTCTCGAAGTCCTGACCTCAGGTGATCCACCTGCCTCGGCTTCCCAACGTGCTGGGATTGCAGGTGTGAGCCACCACGCCTGGCCCACCTTTTCTTTCTGTTAAATAGTCACAGAACACTCTTGAGCTTGTTTTTAACTGGGCTTCCAAAAGTTTGAGACTTTTTATTTGTTTTAATTTTTAGAACAGTGGTTCAGAGGAGAGGGACTTTTTAGTGTGTTGTGTTGGAGCACTGAATTTTCTGTATCTAAACAGAGGACTTTACATTGATTCCAGTTAAATGACGGGCTGGCAGTTCCCACTCTGGTATTGCATTCTGATTAAATACTTCAAAATTGTATCTCAAGTTTTATCCAATACCATGCCACCTGCAAAGGTAGTAAGTAAAACTGTTTTAGGCAGGGCTGTAGTTTCTTCTACACATTATTTATTCTGTGGTTTCTGGGGTTCTCTCCTTGAGAATGGTCTTCCAGTCGGGATGGGTGGGTTTGAAAGGAACTTAGGGTTCAACTGGGAAAGAAAGCCCACAGTGCCTCTGAAGCAAACCAGGACTGTGCAAGTACTCCACCATCGGGGAGGAGGAACTGTACCTCCACACAGGGTTGCACAGGTGTGGGTTAGCAAGGGAAGCTTCCTGGAGCAGAGCTTGCCGTGAGTACACCTATGGGTGCTGTGGGACCAGCATGTCTAAAATTAGAGCTGCCCTGGAAAGGGCAGGACTTAGGAATGTCATCACAGAGTAAAGCAGGTGGAAAAATCAGGATTCGACATGGCAAGCGTGCAACAGGGTCAACGCTTTCTCTATCAGAGTGATGATCAGTTGGTGTTTCAGCTGGGCGGTTCTGTCTGGTTAATAGAAAAAGTTTGGGTTCAATAGCGGCAAGCCTGGGCCTAGATCCCGTCATACCATATCTGCTAGTGTGACTTGGGCACAGAGTTGTTATAAGGAAAAAGAGATGTGTGTGAAGCACCTAGCACATTGCCTGGCACAAGAGGAAGACACTCCCAGTGCCGGCTCCTCTGTGAGTCAGTGCCACACCCTGCTGGGGAGGGGTGCCCACAGCTGGTGCCCAGAGTGCAGGAGGGACCAGCCCTTCCCCAGACAGTCCCCGGGCTTTGCCTAAAAAATTCCAGGGTGGTGGAATGGAGTTTCCTTTCCTCTTGGTAGCCACAGTGAAAGCTCTAAGTAGCCTGGCAGTGTCTGTAATAGGCTTTTTTAGCAGTTTTTATCATAAAGAGATATTAGCAATCATGACAGTACTGTTCCCCCTTCCCCTTCAGGAGCGTGAAATTAACCCTCTGGTATGTCTTCACCCTAGAAGCCTGTGCGTGTCCATGCAGCCTGGGAGTAAGGGCTTCCAAGCCAGGTGCCGTGTGCACATTTCATCTCCATGGTTCATCAGGCTGCGACCTTGGTTGTCTTGCACTTTGGCTTTTCCTGTCTCATAAGATGAGCCAACACCACTTGTTTCTGCATCATTTTGAGAACTGAAGGAGAAGACAGAGAGGCATGTTGGATGATGCCTCTCTGTCTCTCTGAGACTGGCATTTCTCTGGGAAACACAAGATGAGTGGGAGATCAGGTACTAGTGACTCTCAGTGGGGAAAACTGGTCATTTTGGAAACAGGAATATTCCATAACTGAGTGAACTTTTTGGCTCAATCACCAGAACCCACAGTCCTGAGTTAATCTTGCATGACAGAATTCTGCCAGACCGCATATCCAAAAGCCCCCGCTGCTCTGTCTTTTTCTCTTTCTCTTCCCTTCACCCCATAGAATCCTGTGGGATCAGGAAATGCTCACATCATGGGGTAGAGAAACCAGAGGTTTGCCAAGCCCTTGAGGCTCCCAGGTAGATGATGCTTCAGGTTACTAACTTCCTGAGGTTGCAGAGATGGAATGTCTTTTTTTCTTCCCCACTGGAGAAGCCATAGACAATTATTAAAGAAAACTTGAAAAACACAGGGAAGTTGATGGATGTGTGGCCAGTTGGTGCTGTCCATCTTCTTGGTGACCAGGAGTAATTTGGACCATCTGGGAAACCAGACAATCAGCTCTTTTCACCCGGGCTGTTTCTTGTGCATCACTTCTGAAGCTGTGTGCTCATCAAGACCTTGCCACACAGCTGGGTGAGTAGCCTTAGGTCGAGAATATTCTGAGCAGTAGAAAGAAATTTTAAAATCATCCATAATTTCATCACTCTTATTTTAAAAGATTAGTTTATTTCCTTCTAAACTTTCTCCTAAGTTAGTGTATGTGTGTTTATGGCTGCATGCAATTTTGTATCATGTTTTTTCCCCTATAATATTATATCCTAAGGAGCACTTGAAGTCAAATTACTTTTAGTAAATTCTCAATGAGAACGTTTTGAGTGTCTTTCCATTGCACCCCCAACAAGCCTCCTCCACCTCTTCACTTTAAAAGCAACAACTAGTTGAAACATGACACTATCTAAGTCTTTCTGGAGAAAATAGTTTGTGGAGTGAGGTCATTATTGTTTGACAGTTTGGAAAGGACTTAAACTGAGCCCAGCTCCAGGAAAGACTTAATAACATATGTTCATGCCATGGCTTCTTGCACAGTGTTACAGTACCAGCCCTTCCTTGTCTCTCAAACCTTACAGCTCAGGAGGGGCTGTGAATGGATAGGTCAGGAATTCCAGTCCCTGGGTCCTTGGCACTTGTGGTCAGTGTGGGGCTCCCACTCCAGAACTGCATGCGTTAGTTTTGAGCTCTTGAGTCATGGCTACATCTGGAGTTTTTGTGGCAGGGAAGCCTGTTTCCCAGCCACCACTCTGCTCTTGAAGTTGCTGATTCAGAGACTCCCAAGCAGCTGACTTCAGCATTCCCTCACAGTTGTACACCCACTTTTCCCTGCAGCTTCTCTTAGAAGGAAATCGTGTGGTTGTGGTTTGTCTTCAGAGCGGGGTTGAGGGGTGCACTTGAAGAAGTGGCTGAGGCAGAGCTAGAGCCAGAATAGGTAGGGTCGCCCCAGAGAAACTCCTACTTCACTGGACTTTCTATCAATAGGAGGCTTACAGTCCTTGTCCCTACCAAGACAGGGCTGGGGAGAAGTGCAAGAGATTACAGGTTTGCAGTATGTTATCCGTCATCAAAATAAACAGTGAATCCTGCTGAGCAGTCTAGGGAAAAAAAAGAAAGAAAAGAGACAAAATGAACAGTGAACAAATCCGACT